TGGAATAAACTACAATGTAAGCGTAACCCAGATAATGGAATCAGAAAGAAAAATTCGGGCCAAAAGTCTGATGGGGATAAAATCGGCAAGGTATAGCCAGATCCCCTTAGATGTTTTAAATTTGGACTTAATGAATTTTGAAGCTGCCTCTAAATACATTGTAAACGATGAAAGTGCAAACCAACTCTTAAAGATATTGGCGGAAAATTAATTTATGTTTGTGGTTATGCAGCTTTCAAAGTTCAGAATAAAATAAATTGCGAAAATTGTACTGCAATATTAATAGGAGATTAATTTGATTCGGTGTATGTGCAAAATATTAAGCAAGGTGGTTTAACTGTCCCATCAAATATTGTAAATCTTGCCGAAAACCATCATGCACTTTTAAAACATGATAAACCTCAAAGTATCTCAAGACGTGGAGATTCGTCAAGCAATCAAGGACTTCATCCAAATGTAATAAACCGTTATCCGAAACACTTGCAAAAATAACTAGCGTCATGTGTAACGTATTCTTATCTAATTACAAAAAACTAAGAAATAATGTTATAGCTGCAAGAAAACAAGATGTTTGCAGTAGCTTACCGTTGTATTTTTTATTTTAATATTTTAATTTTATGTTTGTTTCAAATAAATTACTGTTTTATTAGCAGTTCTATGTTTGCTTTAAATAAATTACTATTTTAAGAGCATACACAAAAAAATAATCATTTACATTATAATGTATTTATAAATAACCAACATTTTTATGGTTATAAACTTATATGCAAAAATATTATAGGAGTCCAATCGACTGGTCAGTGGCGTAACTGGTCCTTTGAACACTTAAGGGTCATTTTCGCTTCCAATTTCTGAATTGAGTATCGGTCGTTAGCCAATAGTTGTTTGATGACATAAGGTCCCACGAATTCACATGCGAATTTCTCTGACCTTTGACCTCGGCTCAACAATATATCATCACCAACCTTGAATGATTGATTATTCCTACGCTTTTTATTGAGGGAAGCAACTTGTCTTTCGGCGTTTTGCTTCATTTTTTTAAGAATGGTTATGGAGTCAATTGGGTTTTAGTGGTTTGTAGCTTTTTTTGTAGCTGAAAGTTTAAAAGAATTGCAGTCAGTAACCAAAGTAAACTTTAAGCCAAGCAAGTACACTCGAAAATTCTTTAAGGCTCTATCAACAGCCAGGGTCTCAAGTTCAAAGGAATGATAAACCGCCTCCTCAGGGGATGACTAAAATATTCAACCGGTCGAAAGGTATCACCATGTTTCTGCAACAAGGTGCAACCGAATCCGATGCTACTAGCGTCTGTATGTAGTTGAGTTTCCAAAGAAGGATCTAATATAGACAGAAGAGGTTTTCTGTTAAAACATCAATAATGCACTGTCTTGCCTCTTCCCACTCAGACGTCCAACGAAAGTCAACATTATTTCTGGTTAGATTAGTTATACAAGCCACTCTAGAAGAAAAGCCGGGGATAAATTTTCGAAGTCCAATAAATTGTCGAACCTGCTTAACATTAGTGGGAGCTAGACTTTCTTTAATGGCTCTAACCTTGTTAGGATCAGGTTGAATACCATCAACTGAGATTACACGCCCTAGGTAGCTAATAGTAGGTAAAAACGACATTTAGAAAGGTTTATAGAAAAGCAGTGCGTTAAACTAATTTTAATCTTAACATTCCTTCAGCCACTGTTACAGATGGTATTTCAATGTCATCCATGTAAACATAAGCGACATCGTACTTAAGTTTACCTAGAGCTTTGCTAATAGCTAATAGGTACTCGTACTGGCCATCGGGTGTTACGAAGGAAGTTTTAGCTATTGAGTCAGGGCGAATAGGAACCTGGTGAAATCTCAAGGCCATGTCAAGTGTCTTGAAATATATATTTTTGCCTAAGCGATCTAACTGGTCGTCTATCCGGGGGAGGGGATAACATTCTTTGACAGTGATTTTATTGAGAGAACGGAAATCCACACAAAGACGGTTGCTACCATCTTTTTTCTTGGTCAGGATTATTGGACTTGCAAAAGAAGAATTACTTTCACGGATAATTCCATGTTTAAGAAGATCAGCGACGATTTCGCGCACCTTTCGGCGTTCAGATTCCGACATACGATAGAGGTAATGGTAGACAGTTTTATTTTCAATTAACCCACTAGTGCATGGGTAAAGAAAAAGAAAAAAATGATTTTTTGTTCATAAAATATATTTATTTGGACTTAATTTGGCACTTATTATCAACAGAAGAAAAAAATATATTTTTTCGACCTGCATATCTATTTGATTATAGAATTTAAATATTTGTATGGCCAAAATAAATTTAAAAAATCAAATGGAATATCAGATATTTCGGATTCTTGAGATGCTTCCCGAGGATTACAATTTGTTTCAAATTTATAATGGGGTATATTATGGGTCCATTTTATTGCTTCCTTTTTCCTATTTTTAAAAATTTTCTTTTATCTGACTTTTAATTTGATCTCGTTTCCTTTTTTTTTAAGTAGATGGCTATGGCTCTTCAATGGCTTTATTTTGTTGTCGAGCAGGTTGTTTAGGAAGATTATCTTCCTCATCGTATTTATTTTCTTTGTTCCTTATTTCGCATTTTTTCTGTAAAATTTCTCTACCTAGATAATTTGGATTTCCTGCTTCCTCATCGGATATAGCAGTCTTCTTGTGTATCTTCTAAATTTTTCATCTGGTGCGTCCTTTTTCTTATTTTCGACCTTTTCTTTTTTCTGACTTTTGATTTTATCCCACTTTTTTAGGTTTTAAAAATATAAAGGAAGATTATCTTCCTTATCGTATTCATGTTCTTTGTTCCTTATTTCGCATTTTTTCTGCAAAAATTCCTCTACCTAGATAATTTGGATTTCCTGCTTCCTCATCGGATATGTCTCTGTCTTCTTCTGATTTTTCATCAGGTGGTAATATGTATATTTTATCAGGTAATTTATCCTCACTTTCACAATTTTACCAATATTCGAGCAATTCATGAAGTGATAAACTATAATAAAAAAATTAACCTTAGTGCATACTGTGTGTTATAACGGAAATGCAAAAACAAAAGTTTATAAAAACATGACTTGTGATATTGTCGAGCAAGTTGTTTAGGAAGATTATCTTCCTCATCGTATTTATTTTCTTTGCTCCTTATTTCGCATTTTTTCTGCAAAATTTCTCTACCTAGATAATTTGGATTTCCCGCTTCCTCATCGGATATTTCACTGTCTTCTTCTGATTTTTCATCAGGTGGTAATATGTATATTTTATCAGGTAATTTATCCGCACTTTCACAATTTTCCCAATATTCGAGCAATTCATGAAGTGATAAACTATAATAAAAAAGTTAACCTTAGTACATACTGTGTGTTATAACGGAAATGCAAAAACAAAACCTTATAAAAAACATGACTTGTGATATTGTCGATCAAGTTGTTTAGGAAGATTATCTTCCTCATCACATCACATCATAATTAGCAAGGAATGCAGCCAAATCCCTTATAGAGGACGCGCCACAATTATGAGCCGCGGTTCTTACAACGGGTCGCCTATAGAATGTGCGTCGATCTCTATTAAATCCGAATCCACCCAACTAGCTCGGGTGCGTTTCAACTTTTCGAGTTTAATCCTCGCATATTCGACATAACTACGGGCCTCTGAGCTATGGTAGCTTACCGCATCACTTAGAAGCCTACCTAAATTTTTCTGTTTAGGAAAGGATACAGAAAAATCGGTCTTAAAATTTGTTCACGTTTCTTTAGTGGGCTGCCATGCGGAAAACTACTCTTGTGCAGTTTTATAACCCTCTATTTTTTGTAACCATAAATAGGAGTTGTTAGGGCAGCAGGGGCTGTGGCTTGCCGTTCGTTTTTATCCACGCGCTTTTGCAGATGGCACGTCTTCTGCAATAGTGTCCTTTACAACCACCACAAAAACTCCACGGAATACAGAACAGTTATGAAAATACACATGTACCCCACACCTGATGTTAGATTTTTATCAACACTATCCACTTTCCGTCGATGTCAGGCAGTTTCTGCCTCTGCCAGGCGATGCGCTTCTCTGATGCGCTTTGTTTTGCACACCACCCGCTAAATTTGGCGCACATGCATGAGCGACCGGATGTTTATAAAAGCGCCAAATTTAAATATTTTAAATGTAATCTAACAATAGTCTTAATTCAAATCAAATATAAGTTTACTAAATATATTATGTTTTGTTAAAAACTTCTTTTTTAATTAAATATATTAATTTATTTTAAGTTAACTTTAATTTTTAAAAGAGTATAATTTCTATATTTAAATACAAAAAAATTGAATTTAAGTAATTATTCTTAATATATAAATTAAACTTATTTTTTTATAAAATTAAACTTAACAAATTATTATTTAATATTCCATATTATAAAAATTAGACTATACTTATTTCAAATAAACAAATCCAAAACAATCGTTATTTTAAAATTAAAGAATTATTTTTTGTGTGCAGTTCTAACTTTACCACCCTGTATCTCGAAAACAAAGCTTAAAAACATAAAAATGTATGTAAACTTTTAAATTAAATTAAATTAAAATCTGAGACACCCTGTATAATAATACTTAAAACAATATAAACAAGGTAAATTTATTATTTATAACTTTAAAAACTTCGCTCTTATATCATTTAAAATAATAAAGGTGATAAAAAAATTTCTGGTGGTCTGTGGTGATGCGCGACTTCTCGGACACTGTATACGAATTTGAATGATTAAATAATTTTTTTGTAATATCGCAAAAACAAGACCTGATTGAGCAAAATTATGGTATTTTTTTGTATCAATTTCCCCTGTTGGCCACCATGTAGTAAACAGTAATAACCATGAAGAACTTCATGGTAATAACATTATTGTTTTTTGTACTTCCAGGCAAGAAAAATCATGTTAAACATAACAACCATATTTCACTGTAACATCTAGTCACCCAACTGTCATAAATCTTCGTAAAACAACAGCAATATGACGCGGGGATCTTCGACAGACGAAGGTGCCCTCTTTTGGAAACGCATATTCTCAGCTTCCGCCTATGCGTTAGCTTCGTTTGCTATAACAGTGGTAAATAAAACGGTATTAACGAACTACGGATGCCCGGCCTCGATTTTGGGCATAGGACAAATGGTGGCCACCATAGTGGTTTTATTCGGGGCGAAAAAAATCCGACTGGTGACTTTTCCAAGTTTGGAGATCGCGACGTTTGGAAAAATATTCCCGTTGCCGATTATTTACATGGGAAACATGCTGACTGGCTTGGGTGGCACTAAGGAGTTGAGCTTGCCCATGTTCACCGTATTGAGACGGTTCTCGATTTTGATGACCATGATATTAGAGTTATATATTTTAGCTGTTAAGCCAAACTTTAGTGTGCAATTTAGTGTTTATACGATGATTATAGGTGCCATAGTTGCCGCCAGTAACGATATAGCCTTTAATTTACATGGTTATGTGTATGTATTACTAAACGATTTTTTTACTGCTACCAACGGGGTTTATATGAAGAAAAAATTGGATTCTAAAGAATTGGGAAAGTATGGCCTTCTCTACTACAATTCCTTATTCATGTTAATACCAGCCCTATTTTTCGCTTTCTATATAGGAGACTTAGACTTAGCCTATAACTTCCCATACTGGAATGATTACCTTTTCTTGGCCCAATTCTTCTCTTCATGCATAATGGGCTTCTTACTTTCATACAGCATACTTATGTGCACTTATTACAACTCTGCACTGACCACAACGATCATAGGGTGTCTGAAAAATATCTGTATAACCTATTTAGGAATGGTTATAGGCGGTGACTATATTTTCTCGTGGATTAATTTTATTGGCCTAAATGTAAGCGTCCTGGGTAGCCTAATTTATACCTATGTGACGTTCAGGAAAAAGGACGAGGTTGCGTATACAGCGTTGCCAAGTCAGGGGGGTAAAGTGGCCAATGTTGTATGATAATTTTGTGTTACCTATATGTGCAATAATTATGCTCAAATTTATTTTTATTATTGAATTGCAACAATACAAAGATAATTGGTTTACATGTATTCGCATAACCTCAATTGTTCTTTGTATTGTAAACAAGATGTTTTAATAAAAAAATTGTGTAGGTACTTTGTAAGACAAAGTATATTGTTTAAGATACTTATTATTGTATTTCAAAAAAGCGATAATGGTTTTTCTATGTAAAATGTGGCCATTTTTTTCATATAAATGACTAATTGCGTGTTTCTAGAAACCAAACTATTGAGAATGGGTCAAAAAGTTCATAAGGAAATTTGTAATAGTTTATTTAATTCCATACAAATTTGTTCAAATCCATTTTTGTTTATATCTTTGATGCTCATCTAGTCTTATATTGGAGAAAACATGACCTCAAATAAACTTCAGAGATTAGTTTACTTAGGATAATTAAAAAATCACAAAAAAATAGGAAACAATTTTGAAGGTAATTAAATCTACCTACTACTAAATTACTTTTTACCTTATCAATAATTGTTTAGTTTCTATACGCCTAATCGAGAAAAAAAACGATATAGGTACCTAGTTTTTTTATACACTCTATTACGTATAAGTATACGTAATTATTTATTAAACTATCCCACGGTATTATTTAAGACCGTAAACTATCCTATTATTTGTGAATATTGTATAGAATTAGTTAGTATACTTAAATATACTAACTAATTGGTATACCAAAAATTGTAAAATGTGTATATGTACAAATATAATAAAAGTATTTAAATTATTTTTTATTCTTTTTATTAAATGTTTTAATTGATAAAAAAAGGTCATAAAGGTCACGAATTATCCAATTGCTTAACTTAAAGTTGCTAGATTAAATACTTAATGTATTACCCAAAGGTATACCTATATATATATATATATGGGGCGATCCACGCCAAATCGGCCAAGATTCACACTTCATGTTTCCGATTTACTTTAAATTTTCAGGGCCGACAGAGGAACATAAATAAAGGAGAAATCCAAAATTTTAATTTTTTTTATGCATTTTTGTGGATTTTATATAATAAATAAAAAAAAATGTCACGTTTCTTATTTTTCGAAAATTAAAAAACTGAAACGACTGAAAATTTCGAGATAAATTTAGATGTACATATTTTTGGGCGCTCTTTAAAAAAAAAAAATTTTTCAAAAATTTTAACCTAAAAATTCATTAAAAAAATCATTTTTTTTAAACAAATTCAATTATCCAAAAAATGCCATCTCAAAAATTTTTCAAAAAATTTATGGTGATAGCCCTGAATCTTGCGCAAATTTTGACTAGTTACTTTTTGGGGGGACTCAAAAATTGTAGAAGTTATGAATTTTTTTATGAAGCGATGCTTTTGAAATCGTTACTCCCAATGCAATGGCTCCGCGCGACTTTTAAGCGCGCTTAGTCAAACGGGGGATGGAATGGTTTCAGACCAAACAAACAAGTAATTTTATGTATTTTATCAAAAACCAAAATTCATTTATTTCATTCTTAATTAATTGCAAAAAATGCGATGTAATCTCCTGATTTAATATTATAACTGTTGAATTTGTAAAAAAATAACTTTTTCTATCTTTTATGGTAAAAATTTTATTAGGCAAATTCTGTGTTATATAATTAATTTACAAATACTAAAAAAGTCTTTGACAAATACTGTCCTAGTATCCATGACAACCTAAAATGTTGATTTTAATTTGTTATTAGATTGCCATGCATTTCTGACGTTAGTCTAAAAGTAAACCATAACATTATTTAAGGCGTTAAATTTGAAACACCCTGTTTGTTGTTAGTAGTTATTATTAGTTATTATTATTGTTATTATTGTTAGTTATTATTAGTTATTATTGTTATATTAGTTATTATAGTTATTATTAATTATTATTGTTAGTAGTTATTATTAGTTATAATTACTAATTAGTATAATAGTTTTGGCGCATTAACCCGAAGTTTATAATAATTATAGAATTGTTGAGTTTAGTAATTTCTTGAGTGAGTTTATTAAGGAAAGCTATCAACATGAGTCCATCACACAAAAAGCGTTGCTGTAATCCATTTAAGTATCCCAACCGTAAGTGATTATTAATTAATTTTATACTTTATTATTCAAATTATTGTAAATTAAGTAAAATTAACTTAAGTTTTCATAGAGTTTTTAAATAAATGTTTTTTGCAGATCCTAATTCAACTCAACTCAGAAAGTTTTTACGTTTTCATAGGCATAAGTTTGAAAATATTCCCAAAGATGCTTTGATCTGTAATTCATGTCGAGTAAAATTAACAATCCAAGAAACTCCTGAAAATGAAGATTTAGGTTCAGATTCAACTGATTCAAATGCGGAAGAATTTATTTCATCAAAATTAACAAAATTAAATTTAAACATCGCCTTAAATGCTTTAGGTGAAAAAGAAATTGATGATAAAAAGTATGTTAAACATTTTTGTTTTGTAAAAAAAAAATGATAATATGCGCTCGATATTCATGAAAGTGATGCATCACTTTCATGTATATAATATAATATAATCAAAGACAAAATTATATTTTTCATTATCATAACTGAATGTTTTACAGACTTAGATATAAAAATTATATTGTTGGTAAAGTTGAAGCAGCACAAGAAAGTATTAAAAAAAAATTTGAAGAAATAACATGTTTAAATATTGTTACTTCAGATGATGCTAAAACTGTGGCTCATAATAACATTATGTCTATGTTTATGGAGAAATTCAATGCTGAAGACACATCGAGGTTAAATATTATTTTCTCAATCAATTTAATTAAAAATTATTACAAAGAAAAATTTAAGTTCAATTTAAAATCGCATTGTTATTATCAATATTTATAATTAATTTTTATTTCAGAGATAATAAATATCGTATTTTAACTTCACTACCATCAACTTTAAGCACATGCAATATAACACGAACATTCAATTGCTCTAAGCATATGGTAAATGTTGCCAAAAAATTGCAAAAAGAAAAAGGCATTCTATCAGTACCCGGCGTCAAAAACGGACGAAATCTTTCGAGTGATAACATAGATTTAATAACCCAATATTACCGAAACGACGAAAATTCAAGGCAATTGCCTGGGATGAAGGATTACGTGACTATCAAAAAAGATGATGGAGCGAAAGAGAAAGTTCAAAAGAGACTTGTTTATTGTAATTTAAAAGAACTTTACCAATCTTTTAAATTAGAATTCCCGAATTGCCAAGTAGGTTTCTCTAAATTTGCCGAACTTCGTCCCAACGAATGTGTTCTGGCAGGAGCTAGCGGAACACATACAGTTTGTGTGTGTATCTTTCATCAAAATGTTAAACTTATGATCGAAGGTCAGAAAATAGAATTTGATTTCAGAAACCTTAATTAGTTTGATTTACACTTCTTAAGAATAAAAATTATCGTAATAATTATAATTATTCTAATATTTCTAATTATTATAATAATAATATATTATTATTATTATTATATTAATTAGAATTAATAAAATAAATATAATTATTAATAATAATTATAATCAATTATCTGTTTATAGGCTCGGATTTACAAAATTTAACCAAAACTTGGGAAATTCCAATAAAAGGAAAAAGTTCGTACAAGGAGCTCTTTAAATATCTGCTATGTCTAAATCCGATTATCAAATGTTACGAAGGTCAGTGTGCTTTATGTCCCAGCAATGATATTCTAAAAGAAAAACTAATCGACGCATTTAATAATGACTTAGTCGAGGAAGTGAATTACAAACAATGGATATCAACAGATAGGTAAATATTAAGTTATAGTGTAAATTTATGTTGGTTTTGATTTATTACTGTTTTTGAATTAGGTGCTCTCTGAAAACTTTGAACGAAACTATTGATGAATTTGTTCCATCTTTAATAGAAAAATTGACCAAACTACTTTTTCACGATTTTATCGCCACTAAACAGTCTCTGCATTTTAAAAATGTAAAGAAGAATTTAGAAGTTGGCGATTTCGTGGTAACTCTCGATTTTTCAGAAAATTTTGCATTTGTTGTTCAGGAAGCAGTCCAAGGATTTCACTGGAACAACAATCAGGCAACGGTTCATCCGATTGTCATATATTACAAAAATCGTGAAACAAATGAAATTGAACATGTTTCTTATGTTGGCATATCGGATTGCCTTAACCACGACACTATTGCGGTATATACGTCTCAGAAAAAATTAATCGATTTTCTGAAAAGAAATTTTTTAATCGTCAACAGAATTATATATTTTTCGGATGGAGCACCTCAACAATATAAAAATAAAAAGAATTTTGTTAATTTAACCCATCACTTGACAGATTTTGGAGTTGAAGCTGAATGGAATTTTTTCGCAACAGCTCATGGAAAAGGAGCCTGCGATGGCGTTGGAGGCACATTAAAACGAATAGCTCGAAGATACTGTTTACAAAGTGGAACCAGAAATGAAATTTTGACCGCGCAAAAACTTTATGAATGGGCAAAAGAAAATTTTAAAAATATAAACGTTTTTTTTTATTCAACGGCCGATTATGAACTTGCAGCTGAGTTTCTCACGTTAAGGCATAAAAAGTGCAAGACGATCAAAGGAACTCAGTCCATTCACTTTGCATCGCCAATTAATAAGAACACCCTTAAAATTAAATTGTTTTCGGAAAGTTTAACTTCTGATATTGTTTACACAGAGTAAAAAAATATTTGCTAATTTTAACCAAATATTAATAAGATTTTTTGTTAATCTAGATCTACATAACTTTTGTTACGTTTACAACAAACTATAATCTGTTAACTAAGTACACAGTTTTAAAAGTCATATTTATTGATATCAGTTTTTAGTTTTTTAATTTTATATTGTAAAAAGTTTAACATAATTCTTTGTAAACGTAACATAATTCTTGGTAAATGTAACATCACTCCAAAAGTTATTTGGACCTAGATTAATAAAAAAATATGTTATTAATTGGTTAAAAT